AAGCAAAATTAAAAGCAAAGGAAAGGGAGCCAATTGAAGCCACTGGGAGTGTGGTTTGTGCCACTCCTGGCCTTGTCCAGGCAAGTCTGGGCTAGAACTGTGGAATGCCTTTGATGCCTTTAGTTTGGTTTTCCAAAGTTCAAGAGCCGAGATTCCAACGGGAGAAGCTCCTGCAGCTCCGAGCCAGCAGCACAGGCAGGGCCAGGACAGGGCATGGGAACCCCCTGGAGCAGGAGCTGGGCTTCAAAACCCAACAAAAACCAACAAATTCCCCTTCAAACCCAGCCAGGACAACAGCAGGAGAACCTGGAGCTGCTGGAATAAACATTCCAGGATTCTGGAGCCCCTCTGCTCTGGAGCCAGGCTGGGAGAGCTGGGAATGTTCCCCTGGAGAAGGGCAAAATGCAGGGAATGCTGAGAGTCCCTGCAGGGGCTCCAGGAGAGCTGGAGAGGGACTGGGGCCAAGGGCTGCAGGGACAGGAGCCAGGGAATGGCTTCCACTGGGAAAGGGGAGATTGGGCTGGGATCTTGGCAAGGAATTCCTGCCTGGGCTGCAATTCCCAGATTTGCTCTGGATCCCTGGGAATGTCCAAGGCTGGGTTGGGATGGATTTGGATCCAGCTGGGATGGTGGGAGGTGTCCCTGCCCACAGATGGGGTTGGAACTGGTGGGATTTAAGGTCCCTTCCAACGAAAACAGGTCTGGGATTTGGGAGCCCCTCAGCTCTGGGAGAGCTGGGAATGTTCCCCTGGAAAAGGGAAAAATTCAGGGAATGCTGATAGTCCCTAAAGGAGCTCCAGGAGAGCTGGAATTTGGGAAAGGGCTGCAGGGACAGGAGCCAGGGAATGGCTTCCACTGGGAAAGGGGAGATTGGGCTGGGATCTTGGCAAGGAATTCCTGCCTGGGCTGCAATTCCCAAATTTCCCGTGGCTGCCCCTGGATTCCTGGGAGTATCCTGGACATTGGGATTGGATCCAGCTGGGACAGTGGGAGCTGTCCCTGCCATGGATGGGTGGCCCTGGATGGGATTTAAGATCCTTTCCAACCCAATCCAGGCTGTGATTCCATGATCCTTTTAAGCCAGTCCCTTCTCCACAGCGACATCCCTTTAGGTAAGAGGAGTTTGATCCCATGGATTAAAGGGAACAAAAACCTCACCCTGAGCAGCAGCTGAGGCAGCTCCTGATCTCCTGCATCCCTGCAATTCTCTGGACATGGAATCCTGGAATGGTCTGGGTGGGAAGGGACCTTAAAGCTCATCCAGTCCCAGCCCTGCCACTGGATTTTTCCCAGGATAAACGTTCCTGAGCCCTGGGAACACACAGCAGGCTTTGGGAGAGGGAGAGCTCTGCAAATCCTCAAAGGAAAAGGAATCAAATAAGGAAATAAAGAAGGGGGGGGGAAATGAGTATTTCTAGCAAATTAGCTCGACTTGTCAGAAAATTAAGTCCTCATCACAAATTCTCAAGCCCAACGTCCTCATTTCTTCCTTCACCTAAAAATAGCCGCGTTTCCAGCGGGAGCCGGAGCCTTTCCGGCAGGGAGCTGGGAAAAGGTGACTCGACAGAACAGGAGAGGAGGGAGAGCTGCACAGGCACCAGGGAAAGAACATTCCAGAACCCCAGAGGGGCTCGGGGTGCTCTGCCCCTCCTGCTGCCCCAGATCCTGCAGGGAATCCCAAATCCCCAGGGGCCGAGGGTTTTGTTCCCAGCACAGAAGTTGTCCTTGTTGTCCCCGAGGGGATCAGGCTGTCCCAGCTCCGTGTCCCAGGAGAAAGGAGAGCTGGCATCCCTCGGGAATCCGGCTGGAATAGCAAACAGCCCAGCCCCCCATCCTGCCCAGAGCGAGAGCTCCGACACCGCGGAAAAACGGGAAAGGCTGCACGGGCAGGACGGGAAAGCACCGGAACAGCCGGCAGGGAAGGGCTGGGGAATCCCTGATCCCTTGGGAATCCGCTGATCCCTTGGGAATGTGCTGATCCCTTGGGAATGTGCTGATCCCTTGGGAATCCGCTGATCCCTTGGGAATCCGCTGATCCCTTGGGAATCCGCTGATCCCTTGGGAATCACTGATCCCTTGGGAATCCACTGGTCCCTTGGGAATGTGCTGATCCCTTGGGAATCCACTGGTCCCTTGGGAATCCACTGGTCCCTTGGGAATGTGCTGATCCCTTGGGAATCGCTGATCCCTTGGGAATCCGCTGATCCCTTGGGAATCACTGATCCCTTGGGAATGTGCTGATCCCTTGTGCTGATCCCTTGTGCTGATCCCTTGGGAATGTGCTGATCCCTTGGGAATCCACTGATCCCTTGTGCTGATCCCTTGGGAATCACTGATCCCTTGGGAATCCACTGATCCCCTGTGCTGATCCCTTGGGAATCACTGATCCCTTGGGAATCCACTGATCCCTTGGGAATCCACTGATCCCTTGTGCTGATCCCTTGGGAATCACTGATCCCTTGTGCTGATCCCTTGGGAATCCACTGGGGCTCCTCCCCAGCACCGACCTTTGGAAGGAAACACCAAGGTCAAGGTGGGGGAAATAAAGAACTGGAGAGGCTGAGCCAGGGATGGAGGGGCTGGGTTATCCATGGGGATCAGGGCTGGGTTATCCATGGGGATCAGGGCTGGGTTATCCATGGGGATCAGGGCTGGGTTATCCATGAGGAATCAGGGCTGGGTTATCCATGGGGATCAGGGTTGGGTTATCCATGGGGATCAGGGCTGGGTTATCCATGGGAATCAATCAGGGCTGGGTTATCCATGGGGATCAGGGCTGGGTTATCCATGGGAATCAATCAGGGCTGGGTTATCCATGGGGATCAGGGCTGGGTTATCCATGGGGATCAGGGCTGGGTTATCCATGGGAATCAATCAGGGCTGGGTTATCCATGGGAATCAGGGCTGGGTTATCCATGGGGATCAGGGCTGGGTTATCCATGGGGATCAGGGCTGGGTTATCCATGGGGATCAGGGATGGAGGGGTTGGGTTATCCATGAGGAATCAGGGCTGGGTTATCCATGAGGAATCAGGGGTGGAGGGGTTGGGTTATCCCAGGCCGTAGTGGGAGTGGGAATGTGGAGCTGCTGCATCCCGAGCCGAGCAGAGCCAACACAGGATCCATAGAGCCTGGGAATGTTCCAGCCCCTTCCTCTGTGACCCCACAACGCTCCAGACCAGGCTGTGGACCCTTGGGCAGAGGGAGCAGGAGAAAACAGGGAATGTGGGATGAAACCAACGGGACAGCAGCACCACAACCCCTCCACAGCTCCCTGGAAATTTACAGGAGAGGGATAAATCCCCTCAAGCAGAGAAGGGGCTGATTTGCCATGCTCGGAGCAGCCCCTGGCAAAGCGTTCCCAAAGAATCCATCCCCATTCCCTGGCACCAGGGCACCCCTCGCATCCTGCAGAGCCCCTGGAACGATTCCTGAGCGCTGCCACAAGCGCCAGTCGCTCCTTAATGAACAGAACGCGCCGATCCCGTGCCTGACGCGCTGCCAAGCGTGCCTGCACTCGTCTGTGGTGTCTAGAAGGGAGAAGCGTCTCCTCCTCCTCCTCCTCCTCATTAAAAAGCTCCCTCTCTCCCCAGCTGGAGCATCCCTGCTGTCCCCAGGGGAGTCACCCCCTCCCCGTGGCTCCAGGACGTGCCCCGTGACTCCTGCACCGATGGGTTGGGTTGGAGGGGACCCCCAAAGCCCTTCCCATTCCCTGTGGGAAGAGGGAGGAGATCCTCCATGGAATGGCTCCCCTGGGAAATGCACAGCTCATCCCAAAGGCTGCCTGGGCCAAGCCAAGCGCAGGGATCGACCCAGATGGGGATAAATGGGGGTTCTGGATGGCTGTGGGGAGTGGGAATGGTCTCCCTGGGGATTGTCCCAACATCAGGACACACTCCCACGCCCAAGGTGAGGAGCACCTCCTCCAGGGAATCCTTCCAGGGAGTCCTGTCCCGCTCAGGAGGGACTGAAGGGGGTTTAGGAGCCTCCATATCAGCCCAAATGGATCCACAAGCACAGCAAGTGGTGTCTGCTCATCCACGCAGGGTTCTGTGCCCAGCACCTGCCCTGCTCACCTGGGGCCAGGTGTGTGACCCTCCCCGTCCCCAGGTCAGCCGTGGAGGACACAGCTTTTGTGCTCTGTCACAATCTGCTGGCCTGTGCACCGTCCTGGCTGCTCACAGCCAGCGCTCCGTCCATGGCCACCAGAGCCGGACACTGCCAGCCGGGCAGGGCGCCCACCTGGAGCATCGCCACTCCATCCCAGAGCTGCTCTTCCCCTCGCAGCCACCTTGGCCCTTGCCCCGGCCCCTCGGGTGAAGGACGAACCCGCGCCATGCCACACCGGGACCCCCTGCCCGTCCCCGCTGCCCTGGGTGCGCCCGCGGGGCTCGAACCCGCGACCCACGGGCCCCGCGCCCGCCGCGCTGCGCCCCGC